CCCCCCCCCCCATCTCTCCAGGCGGGTGTGGTCCTAGCTTTCTGGTTGTGTTTTTCTGCTTAGAGTTCTCCACCTGACACATTCCTGTTCACCCTTTGAGTTGCAGTTCCTCTTCCCTGTATTTCGGTTACATATGTACATGCCTCTATTTCTACATTATGATAGACTCATTTAAAAAAATATCTCCGGCCCTGCCAGGCGTGGCCCAGCGGTTGAACATCCACCTAGGACCCAGGAGATTGCGGTTCGATTCCCGGTCAGGGCACATGCCCGGGTTGCGGGCTCGATCCCCAGTCGGGGGCCTGCAGGAGGCAGCCAATCAATGACTCTCTCATCATTGATGTTTCTCTCTCTCTCTCTCTCTCTCTCTCTCTCCCTTCTTCTCTCTGAAACCAATAAAGGTATGTTAAAAAAATAAAAAATCTGCACACTAGATAGTGTCTTCCTCTGAAATGGAGATGATTTATGCCTTTGTATCTTTAATTCTAGAAAAGTGCTTTACATAAATATTTGCTTCCTTTGGAAGGCAGGTAGGTGTGGAGGCTGGCTGGGGGACAGTGTTGGTCACTGTTTTGAATACAGCTGGCGTATCCGAAGGATCATTTTTTTGTTCTCATAATCTCACCGCATATTTGCCTAGACCTGCGTTGTTCAACACAATAGACATCCGCCACATGTGGCCACAGCGTGTTTGAGAGATGGAATTTTAGTTTCATTTAAACTCACTTAAATATAAATTTCAAAATTGATATTCCATTTGATTGCTGGAAAACTTTTAAGTTAATTTGGAACAGGTTGGGAATGTGATCCACTTTTTCATCTGTTAACTTTATGAAATCTAACCACAGGTGAGGTATTTCCAATGAAAATCCAGTGGCCTGGGAGATGTGCTTGGGTATAATACACATACCCAATTCAAAGACTTTAGTACGAAAAAAGAATGTAAAGATCTCATTAATAATTTTATATTGATTGTTATACTAGTATTTTGGATATGTTAAGATACAATATATTACTTCAGAAACAGTTCACCTGTTTCTTTTTAGTGTTTGAAGGTAGCTATGGAAAATTTTCGATTACACGTGTGGCTTGCATTCCAGTTAATTAAAACAGTACAGGTGAAGACATTTACACTTTGCAAAGCACACACTTTCCCCCTACACCTGCTTCATTTCCTCACAACATGGTGAAACTGGTCTCTTGGGAAAGTGTCAGTTTTGTTTTAAAAAGGAAACAGTGAAGGAGGGGGTGGGTCACGAGGAGACAGAGCGCGGGTCTAGCCGGGGCTCTCCGTGGAACTGAACGTAGTGGGAGTTACTGCTCTGATGGGCGTCCCTCAGTCTCTCACGGGAGGGTGCCTTTCCCACCCTGCCCCCAAGCTCCAAACCGGCACCCCAAGAGGGAGCTCCTGGGCTCCGGACAATCCCAAATTGGGTGCAGCGTCGTGGCACCAACCGGCAGTTACTAAAATTTAAACCAGGAGCTCCACAGTGCCTCTGCCAATTACTATTACAAGGGGTAAAGAAACCCACCACAGATCGATGGAAGTCATATTCAGCAACAGTCACGTCCCTCTCTTTGACAGTATTTTGCAATTTTCGGTTTCCTACTCGATTGCAACCAGGGCTGGGTTTCGACTTCTGCGCGTGGTTTTTCAGCAGACAGCCCCGGACAGATCCAGACCGTTTAGGGCTTTAACGACCATTAAAGAGAAAAGAAGGAGCTCAGCTCTTGCAGAATCAACTCTTCCCCAGACCTTGCCCAAAGGAGATTCCTGGTTATTTAGTCTCCGGGGAGAAAAAATCAAGACTCCCCGGGCCAGAACCGAGCCCAGAGACGACGGCGGCTCTCCCAGCGCC